ACCGTATCAGAGCGCTCGAATTGAAGAATGGATGGAGGAATTACAAAAATACGACATGGTATTGACATATACACCTCAAACATAAAATAAAACAGCACGAATTTTCATTTACCAGTATGTTGAAATTGTGAATTTAAGGACGATTGCAGAAAAAAGTGATTAAATAAAAACTTAAATTTTTATTTCCATATGTCATCTTCAAAATCTTATAAAAGATTGGCATCAGTTGTTGAGAATTAAAATCAAGTTTCAAATGAACTGTTGCTACGAAAGTCGATTTTTTTGTTCATGACTTTTTTTTTGACTATAGCCTCTCTGAAACGCGTTAGGAAGTCACTAGAAATATTTCTTATAACTTTGTCTTTTGCCAATTCATAGTTAAGTTTTTTACCAATATGGTACCTGCTAAGGCTCAGAGAAAAAGGTTTTCGTCAAATATTCTGGAAAGTATATGTACAGTTCTTTTGTAGTGGGTATGCGTGAAGATATGAAAATCAGCCACACCCACAGTCACACTCTCGTCATATTCCTCGTTTCAATTAAATTTAATGTCAAGTAGCTTTCACTATCTCCATCTCAACGCAAGACAAAATGAAGACAAAGATACCAGTAGTCAATGATTAATAGCGGCATCGACTATGATTGCATAGTTATTTACTCTCTGATTACGACATGCTTCATTCAAAGAACCGAGGTCTAAACTTTGGTACAGCAAATTTTAACGCTTTCTCGTCTTTCTTAAAATTAAAATATATTTAAACGATTGCAATAATTAAGGCGCAAAGATTCGTTATATGCGTGGAATGAGGAGTAAAATATTAGAATGATACATTGTAACGCTTACTTACAGATTGGAAGCGTTAACGTATTTAAAAATTTTCTCAAAAATACTTAACACACAAATAAGCGTAAGCACATGTGATTGCGTTTTAATGCATTTTTGAGTCTTGATATAGCTGATTGATCGTTATCTTATGTGTGAATATCAGAGTAAGGAACAAAACGCTACATAGCGTGGCAAAACTAGGAACACCAGTGATATCAAACCAAATTAAACCTATTCATATTGCCAAGACTTACATTTAACACAGTCTAACTATTTGTTAATCATATACATCAATTCACGCTGAAATATTTACTCTATGCCAGAAGCAATCTTTGTCAACTCTGTATGACGTCAGCAAATTGAATTATAGATAAAATAGTAAGGAGGGTGTGGGTGAGGATGTGTGGGTGGTTAGATGTGTGGGTGGGTGTCGGATGGATGTGGGATGTGTGGGTGTTGGTGTGTGTAAGGGAGGGTGTTCTTCTTGAAACCCACACCCACGTCCACACCCTCAAATGGAAGATTGTGTTTTATCAAAAATTTTTGAAAACATTCGAAATCCTAGCTATCTATCATTAGCTTTTCTTTGAACAATATGTTTCACACATAATTCCTTCTTGCGTATGAAAAATAAAACAAGGAAATTATTTTTTAAAATTTTTTGTTTCTACGTTTTACATTATTCTGATAAAACTACTCACCACAACCACATCAGTAAGAACCTTTATAATATCTAAACAATTTTTTGAATGGTTGTCAATGGCGTTCTATATTGTGTATGCACCACGTGATAATTTTTTTAGCTTTTTGAATGAGTCATATTTACCTTGACAAACAAGTCATTTTGTAATAACTTTTGCTTTCATTTTCTTCAATTTCTTTACACAACATACGATACAAAACATCCACTTGAGTGATCATATTCCGTCAATTGCTTTTGCAATCAACATTCATGTTATCCGATACGTGCCGCTAATATCGAAGTCATTCTGCAATGTTAATTTTGCCTATGAAGTCAATGACCCACACCCTTAACAAAATAATTGTTTATTAAAATTCAACATAGAGTTTCGTATTTGGTATTTATTCTATTGTAGTCATGAAAATTTATCCTTTTGTTTTTCTATGTTAGGCTTTTGAATTTATTTTGTTATAATTTAAGAAATAAATCTTGATTATTAGTATAAAAAGTTGAACCATGTATAGGATGTGGGTGTAGATTTATAAAAAGAAAAATACCGATACACTCACTCATGGCAATTAAATCGAAGCAACACGAAAAAAGAGACATGATTTGCAAGGAGTTTGGACATGTACATTTTTCATAGAAAAGTATAAATCATAAATAACCTTCAGAATTGTCAGGTATAAAAATAAGTTTGTCAAAGAATCGGTTTTTAAAAATAGAAAAAACATTCTAAAGTGGTAAAATAATAGTAAAATACAAATCAAAACATGTTCGAACAGTAAAAACTTCTTGTTTTCTACCCTTCAGTCCTGAAGAAGATAAGGATTATGAGTAAGTTTTGATGAAAAGTAAAAGTGTCAACGATACTAGAAAATCATGTCTCTTTTTTTTCATCCTTTCCCTATTTACAATTCATTAAAATGCAACAGCACTTCAAATAAAATTGTTTCAAAAATAATTTTATCTAAAATGATTTCTCTCAATGTAACGTTCTTAATTTCTGTTTTTAAATATTTCATTATATTAAAACAAATTAATATTGAACACAAGCCAACAAATTTTTGATCTACATAAGCCAATTTGTATTCTTAGAGTAATTATAAATTGTTGGATTGCAGTGTATTTTAAAATATTATTTATCACACAGTTCTATTCTAATAGTGAATTATTAGGCATATATTTCTGTAAAATTTCGTGTGCCATCAAACACCCCTCTTAAAAACTGGTTTATGATCATAAACATAAAAAGAGAAGTTCAACTTAAGTTTATAAATGCCTACAAAATTTTTTTCAATTCAAACGACGTACAAAGTTAGAAAAGATACGGAACAACAATAGTAGGAAAGTACTTTGGGTGTGGATTTATGCAAAATAAGAACACCAACACACAGGCCCAAATTCATTTTCTCTCTTGAGTAGTCCATGCTAGATTTTCTTTCTAATTGAACAATCCATTGTTGACATTGTTTTGAACGTTCATGTTCAGCTGAAAAATTGTTTACAGTAATTTCATATGCTTTTTTCATGTAATCCAATGCTTCTGTTAATTTCTCTTGTCGAAATAATGTCCACGCTATATTTTCATAACTTGTACTTATCCAAGGACATTCGGAAGGATGCAAAGCTAATTGTATCGTAAGTGTTTTTTTAAAACAATCTAGCGCTGCATCGTAATGAAATTGTCTATAGTGAATTAATCCAATGTTAGTGTATGTTGTTGCTAGATCGGAATGATCTTTAGGTGAAATTTTCCTATGTATAGTAAGACATTCCTCGAACTCTATCGATGCGTCTGTATGACAACCTTGTACATAATATACTTGACCAATGCTATTGTAGTACTTAGCAACTGTGATTTCTTCTGGACTATCATAATTTAGTTCCATATCGAGCGCTTTACGATAATTTATTAAAGCTGCTTTATAATCGCCTTGTTCACGATGAATTTTTCCAAGATTATTATAAACTCTTTCTAAATTTCTATAAGTTGAAGGTACATGTTCGAGTTTAATATTAAGTGATTTTGAAAAGCATTCGATAGCTTTTATCTTTTCACCAGTTTGTTGGTAAATTCATCCAAGTTCATTATAGATAGTTGAAAGCCATACTAAATCTTTAGTTATGTTTTTTTATTTTCAAAAGCATTCGCTAGCTTTTATCTTTTCACCAGTTTGTTGGTAAATTCATCCATAGTTTTATTCGTAAACTATGTATATTACATTGAAATGACACGATCGACATTAGTAAATGAAAATCAACCAAGTTTCGGAATGAAAAGAAAGTTCATTATAGATAGTTGAAAGCCATACTAAATCTTTAGTTATGTTTTTTTATTTTCAAGTAGTGAAAAATAATATTCTTCGGCAGCACTATGGTGTGGGTGTAGATATGGGTGTAGATAAAAATACGACATACCCACACCCAAAGCTTAGATGCAAAAAGCAACATTTTTCTGAACTGAAATGACCATAATGATTATACACGGATGAAAATATAATTCTCAAGTGACTCTTAAAAATGAACTTGGATGAATTTACCAACAAACTGGTGAAAAGATAAA